GCGATACTTCAAAATGCGCATTAAAATAGGGTGATGGAAACATAGCTTTTGACTCGTTGGATGGAAGTGGTGCTTTATTCGCAAATGTTTTATGTGACATTCCAGTTTTGCGCATAAGTTAAATTCGCATCTTTGGATGGAAACATAGCTACAGAAACAAAACGCTGATGCTAATGTCTTTACAGGCTCAAGTTCATTACCTGGAAATGCACAAAGATGTTCATGAAGAGCTCGTAGACAGCTAGAGAGACGCGTCCGCTGGGCTCCAGCGGCACCAGGATGAACTGAGCGCCCAGCAGAGGAACCAGGATGATGGTGGCGCGAACCGCCTTCATGTAGACATTGGTCTCGGTGCGGTGAGTGACCCGCAGTTTGGTGATCAGCACCCGCACAATGTTCAGCAGGAAAAACAGGTTCACCTGTCGGGTGGAGAGAGACATCGGGTCAGATTACACAGATGGACTTGGTGGTAACACATAAGGCAAGTTATGTAATCAGATTACTTTTTCAAGTAACTTGTAAAGTAACCCGTTACTTTTGAATCTGAAATAAAATATCGGAGTTACTTTTTCAAATAAGTAACGCCAGTTACTTTGTTTCCTCATGTATTGACTGGCAGCTCTCCTGTGCTCATGTTGAGAGAAATCAGGAGTGAGTGCAGATGCGTTGTGTGCGCTGTGTGAACATGATCTTACTGTAGTTGTAGACTAATGCGAACATGCATTTACTCATATCTCACTCGCACAAAAGCAGATTCAGCGTTCCTCAAAATCAATAAAAACTAAGGATGTAACGATTAACCGCGACCCGGTTGAAAATCGATTTAAATATGTGACGATTCAAATCGGTTGAGATGCTAAACAAATCGCGATTTAAACCATTCTGTTTTTGCTTCAAATTTCGAAATTATACAATCTAAGCTACATTTCACGATTCTCAGTATCACAGCAGAATACTAGGGTAAGTAATATTAGTAAAAAACAAAACAAAAAAAAAGCCCTAAAAAATGATTGAAAATAATTAAAACGTCAGAAAAAAAAGCCAAGGACAAATACAATAGAAAAAAAGATGCAAATGAAACAAACAGTGCAAGTCTAAATTATTCAGCTAACAGCCTACTACAGAAATTTAATTAAAAAAGAATTAAACTTCCTTTGTTTCTTATTAAAGCTACAAAAGTCCTTCAGTGAAGATCAGTGAGTGATTTTCTCTTTGTCTTTTGTTGTTTGATTAATATGAAGCACACAGTCAGCAGCAGGACCCGAGTCCGACCCGACTGGACCCGAACATAAACGGCATTGACGTGTGCACAGCCTGCAGCCATGCAGCCAGTCAGGAAAATCCCGGCGTCCTGCTGACTGATTTGGCCGCTTCTCCATTACTTTAATTTATTTAACATGTATTTAATTTGGTTATTACTTTATATTATTGCCTGCCTGATGGATACAAGTTATTTCTGAGTTCGGCTTTCAGTTGTGACCAGTGGATTTGAAAAATAAACGTGATAGTTTGATAAAAATTGAATCGATAGCTTTTCATAGCTAATCTAAAGCATAACTCATGATCATAACATAATTCATGGCTTCGCTAGTGTTGTCTGCAACCTAATCTCCGGCGAAAGGCTTCTGCACTCAAAAAAAGAAAAGCCCTGCATGAATACGCAGCGTAATGAAGCGAGTGAATTTTCCTGATGGATCTCATATCTATAAGATGGATTTCTGTTGGCGAGGTTACAAACGTATGCTCCTTTTATATGTGCGTTCCTCACTTAACGCGAACGTGCAAGTATACACATTCGGGATAGTTTAAAAGAATTCGGGTCTTATCGGGTCCATTTGAATAAAAAGCACATTTATTTTAAATTACCCGAGACCCGAGGCCACTAATACCGAACCCGACCCGTGTCTGAGGCACTCTTAGAAATTTTGGACCCGAACCTGCGAGGTCCAGGACGGACCTCGGGTTTTCGGATCCAAGTGGACCCGTGAAGACCTCTAGCGCACGCACAGAAATAAACGCTTTTAAAACATGAATAAATCTAATAAGCTTTAATAAATCAAGCACGTCCCATTTTGCAAAAGTCACGTTACATGATTTTACTGATTCACACGTCAAATTGGGCTTTTATGGAGTGAAAGCGCACTGCTGGAAAAGGGGTGGAATGGGGCGCAATAATCATTTTATCTCGATTACTGTATTTTCATAATCGTTGGAGGCCAAAATCGAAATCGAAACTGTATTTCGATTCATTGCACAGCTAGCTCTACCTTAGATAAATATTTGTTTTTTCTCGCTGAAGTGTGTTGAACTTTCTTCAATGCAATCCAGAATGGCAGCATATAAAGGTTTGTTTGAGCGGCGCCCTCTACTGTTCAGACCTGAATGTACATTTCCTTCAGCTTATTAATTTCACTTCTGGTGTGAAAGGCCTTTTACATTTGCCAGAAATATAACTTTTTTTTATATTAAAAACAAACTAGCAAGCCCAGCCCAGATGAGAAAAGTAACGCAAAAGTAACGTAACGCATTACTTTCCATAAAAAGTAACCCAGTTAGTTACTTTTTTATGGACTAACACAATATTGTATTGCATTACTTTTAATACAAACACTGAGGATGATGATAATGATGAAGCTCACCAGCAAAGCGACGTGAATGGGGCCGTGTGTGATGTACAGCAGCTTTATGTTCATGATCCAACACCTGGAGTAAACATCAAATATTTAGGAATTTCAGGTTTAAAAAGTGAACATTTTAGAGTTCAGTTTTAAGTGTGAAATCCAGAAATGTCCTGTTTACCTGTCGTCGTGGAAGAGCAGACGGGCCACGGCGTGCAGGACAGCAGGGATCACTGGGAAACCTGCAAAAAACAGACTCCGTCTTAAATGAGCTCAAACTAATATATTTGCCGTGAAAAAATAATAATTGTGTGATGTGTTTAAAGAGCTCAATCATTGGATTATGAAGTCAACAGAAGATTGAAAATTGACATTTAGTGAACTCTATAATTATTATTCTGTGAACCATATAACAAATATGTGGAGCAATAAAAATAACTATTAAAATAGTGGGCTTTGACAAAGTTTATGTGTGTGTGCAAAATTATTGTAATTATATGATAAAGTTTTGAACTGGGAAAATATTTATGCAGTTGACTTAAGAGCTTAACGAGGCACTTTATTTAAAAGGTTTTAGTATATTTTCTGTTTTCACTTTTATTTTAGTTAAAGTTTTAGTAATTTTGTAGTGTTTTTGCATATATGTCTACATTTTTTAATTTTTTTATAAAAAAATTTGGGATCAATAAGATTTTTTCTGCTTTTCTGCTCTTCGTTTATTTGATCAAAAATACAGTAAAAAACAGTAATATTTTGAAATATTGTTACATTTTCAAACAGCTGTTTTCTATGTGAATATCTGTTAAACTGTAATGTATTTCTGTGATGCGCAGCTGTATTTTCAGCATCATTACTCCAGTCTTCAGTGTCACATGATCTTCAGAAATCATAATAATATGCTGATTTGCTGCTCGAGAAACATTTGATTATTATCAATGTTGAGAACAGTTGTGCTGCATAATATTTTTGTGTAAACCGTGATGCATTTTATTTTTCAGGATTCACAGATTAACAGAAAGTCCAAAAGAACAGCATTTATTTGAAATAGAAATCTTTTCTAACAATAATAAGTCTTTACTATCACTTCTTATCAATTTAATGTGTCCTTGCTGAATAACAGTATTAATTTCTTTAAAAAAAACTATTGCAACTCAACTATTCAATAGTTCAACTATTGAACGGCATATTTTATTTAATTTAATTAGTTACAGTTAATAGCTGAAATAAAACATATATGCATATGTGTGTACTATATTTGTTAAAATTATTGCAATTACATTTTGGTAAAATGTGATCTTTTTTGTTTGTTTGTATCCACGCAAGTCAATTTCTTATTTACAGTGACAGCCTGCGTGGCCAGAGAAAAATCAACCTGCTAAACCCCAGAAATACATACATGTGATACATAAAACACAGCACAGCATAACAAATATGTTTTACTAACATAAATAAACTGATAAGCAACTATCTAAAACACCTGCAGTAGTTTTTAAAAGCTGACACAGAAAAATAAGTGTCGTCATAGAAACGAGTCATTTCTGAGAGTGAGGTCATGAAAAGGTCAGAGATGAATTCAGGTTCATTCATAAAGACAGGAATGCAGAGTCAGATTAAAGTCTGAAGGGAAAAGAGGTGAACGTGATTTAGTGAATTGGGGGCCCCATGCAAAATATAGGAATGGGGCCCTATACATTTGCACACATTTTCCTAGATCAACCTTGAGGATCCTTTTTTGTTGTGATGCTTGCTGCTGCACAATGGTGCCCCATAGTTGTGTCCAATGTTTCTACATTTTTCATGTACATGTTATAATGGCTTTCTTTCATGCTGTAGACCACGAAATAGCAACTGATTTACAGTTGAGATACAGGTTTTAAAATGATAAACCTCACAATTGAGCATTAAAACCAGGGGTGAGCCAGAAGTATAAATTATGATATTAATTTAAAACGGAGTTATGTGGGTGGATTTTCGCATTGGTCTGAACAAAAACTACAGACTGGATTATTGAAAATGCTCATTGATTCTCTGCCAGCAGGAGGCGCTTTTGGAACGTCAGAAATATAGAATGAGAAAAGTGTGGAAAAAATATACCCTATATTGACGTGGAAAGTCCACTGATGAGTTACCAGCATAAGCCTGTGTGCAAAGGCTGTCTAATACTAAACTTTAAAATACATTTATTTTT